TTCTGCCTGGAGAGCAGAACTGCCAGGATCTGTGTGACATAGAGGGAAAGGAGGGCAGGTTTTGGAGATTTTGGTGTTTTTTGGTGATTTTGGGTGTTCTTGATTCGAATATCAAACCCTCAGCCAGGTACAGACAGCTGTGAGTTGATTTTTGCTGTTCCCACACCCCCTGCAGCTGGCTGGGTTCAATTCTTCTGCCTGGGGAGCAGAACTGCCAGGATCTGTGTGGCACAGAGGGAAATCTTTTGATGATTTTGGTGTTTTTTGGTGATTCTGGGTGTTTTTGATTTGAATACCAAACCCTCAGCCAGGCATGGGCAGCTGTGAGTTGATTTTTGCTGTTCTCACACCCCCTGCAGCTGGCTGGGTTTAATTCTTCTGCCTGGAGAGCAGAACTGGAGGAACCTCAGCCAGGATCTCTGTGGCACAGATGGAAAGGAGGGCAGGTTTTGGGTGTTTTTTGGTGATTTTGGGTGTTTCTGGTTGCAGGCTGAAGACCAAACCCTCAGCCAGGTTCAGCAGCTGTGAGTTGGTTTTTGGTGTTTCCACACACACATTACCTGATTGTGCTTAATATTTCTGCCTGGATCTGTGTGGCACAGAGGGAAAGGAGGGCAGCTTTTGATGATTTTGGTGATTTTTGGTGATTTTGGGTGTTCTTGATTCGAATATCAAACCCTCAGCCAGGTACAGCAGCTGTGAGTTGGTTTTTGCTGTTCTCACACCTGTAGCTGGTTGGGTTTAATTCTTCTGCCTGGAGAGCAGAACTGCCAGGATCTGTGTGGCACAGGTGGAAAGGAGGGCAGGTTTTGGTGATCTTGCTGTTTTTTGGTGATTTTGGGTGTTTTTGATTTGAATATCAAACCCTCAGGCAGGCACAGGCAGCTGGGAGCTGATTTTTGGTGTTCCCACACCCCCATCAGCTGATTGTGTTTAATTTTTCTGTCTGGAGGAACCTACCTGGATCTGTGTGGCACAGAGGGAAAGGAGAGCTGGTTTTCGAGATTTTGGTGTTTTTTGGAGATTTTGGTGTTTTTTGGTGATTTTGGGTGTTTTTGATTTGAATATCAAACCCTTGGTCAGGCACAGGCAGCTGTGAGTTGATTTTTGGTGTTCCCACACACACATTACCTGATTGTGCTTAATATTTCTGCCTGGATCTGTGTGGCACAGAGGGAAAGGAGGGCAGCTTTTGATGATTTTGGTGATTTTTGGTGATTTTGGGTGTTCTTGATTCGAATATCAAACCCTCAGCCAGGTACAGCAGCTGTGAGTTGGTTTTTGCTGTTCTCACACCTGTAGCTGGTTGGGTTTAATTCTTCTGCCTGGAGAGCAGAACTGCCAGGATCTGTGTGGCACAGGTGGAAAGGAGGGCAGGTTTTGGTGATCTTGCTGTTTTTTGGTGATTTTGGGTGTTTTTGATTTGAATATCAAACCCTCAGATAGGTACAGACAGCTGTGAGTTGATTTTTGCTGTTCCCACACCCCCTGCAGCTGGCTGGGTTACGTTCTTCTGCCTGGGGAGCAGAACTGCCAGGATCTGTGTGGTACAGAGGGAAAGGAGGGCAGGTTTGGGGTGTTTTTTGGTGTTTTTGGTGGTTTTTGGTGATTTTGGGTGTTTTTGATTTGAATACCAAACCCTCAGGCAGGTATAGCAGCTGTGAGTTGATTTTTGGTGTTCCCACACCCCCATCAGCTGATTGTGTTTAATTTTTCTGTCTGGAGGAACCTACCTGGATCTGTGTGGCACAGAGGGAAAGGAGAGCTGGTTTTCGAGATTTTGGTGTTTTTTGGAGATTTTGGTGTTTTTTGGTGATTTTGGGTGTTCTTGATTCGAATATCAAACCCTCAGCCAGGTACAGACAGCTGTGAGTTGATTTTTGCTGTTCCCACACCCCCTGCAGCTGGCTGGGTTCAATTCTTCTGCCTGGGGAGCAGAACTGCCAGGATCTGTGTGGCACAGAGGGAAATCTTTTGATGATTTTGGTGTTTTTTGGTGATTCTGGGTGTTTTTGATTTGAATACCAAACCCTCAGCCAGGCATGGGCAGCTGTGAGTTGATTTTTGCTGTTCTCACACCCCCTGCAGCTGGCTGGGTTTAATTCTTCTGCCTGGAGAGCAGAACTGCCAGGATCTGTGTGGCACAGGTGGAAAGGAGGGCAGGTTTTGGTGATCTTGCTGTTTTTTGGTGATTTTGGGTGTTTTTGATTTGAATATCAAACCCTCAGATAGGTACAGACAGCTGTGAGTTGATTTTTGCTGTTCCCACACCCCCTGCAGCTGGCTGGGTTCAATTCTTCTGCCTGGGGAGCAGAACTGCCAGGATCTGTGTGGTACAGAGGGAAAGGAGGGCAGGTTTGGGGTGGTTTTTGGTGTTTTTGGTGGTTTTTGGTGATTTTGGGTGTTTTTGATTTGAATACCAATCCCTCAGCCAGGCACAGCAGCTGTGAGTTGATTTTGGGTGTTCCCACACACACATTACCTGATTGTGCTTAATATTTCTGCCTGGATCTGTGTGGCACAGAGGGAAAGGAGGGCAGGTTTTGGAGATTTTGGTGTTTTTTGGTGATTTTGGGTGTTCTTGATTCGAATATCAAACCCTCAGCCAGGTACAGACAGCTGTGAGTTGATTTTTGCTGTTCCCACACCCCCTGCAGCTGGCTGGGTTCAATTCTTCTGCCTGGGGAGCAGAACTGCCAGGATCTGTGTGGCACAGAGGGAAATCTTTTGATGATTTTGGTGTTTTTTGGTGATTCTGGGTGTTTTTGATTTGAATACCAAACCCTCAGCCAGGCATGGGCAGCTGTGAGTTGATTTTTGCTGTTCTCACACCCCCTGCAGCTGGCTGGGTTTCTTTTGATGATTTTGGTGTTTTTTGGTGATTCTGGGTGTTTTTGATTTGAATACCAAACCCTCAGCCAGGCATGGGCAGCTGTGAGTTGATTTTTGCTGTTCTCACACCCCCTGCAGCTGGCTGGGTTTAAT